AGTCGACAATGAATGAATGCATGAACAAACCTTTATTTAGTATAAAGCTCAGGGTGGTCCCATCAGTTGCGTGTGCATCTGTTATCAATGGGAGCCCTGGACACAATAAGGCTATAGAATACAATATTGAAATCTATCTATTTAACTAATAATTAAGTAATAAGGGCCAACGAARATAGTTTGAAAACTAACGAGTCTGTATAATTGTCTGTATAATTTGCACACAATTGAGTCTAAAAGGGTTCGCGAAACTCAACTTTTGTATATGGATTACTGAATTGATTTTTAGCAGCTACATACTATTTTGGTTATTTTAATTAGGATTTCTAAAAACTATAAGCAAATGTTAATCAAATCATGAAACATACATGACGTCATTTGGTAGAAATTTAGATATTTTCCTTTCCAAACTCAGTTACAGCAATGAAAGGATGAAGTTGGGCTTTGATTTAAGTAACAATAATTGTTTTTCGCCACATTTTTAATGACACAGTCTTACTCAAAACCATCACGTGGGAAACTCTGTAYATTCATATCCTTTTCAAAAATAAGATTGGACCTTGCATGGAAAGCGTATTAACTTCTCAGCTTGATTCTAATCAAAATTCAGGATGAAAAARCTACTTGGCTTGCTGGTTTTCACTTTGTAATGAATAGAAGTCTTTGTTTTATATGAATTGTACAAGTTTCATAAATTAAGTTTGCTTTTAATTAATAAATAATCATACGATCGGTCTGCTAACAATGGTTGAAAATAACACATATCAGCATTCGAAGATACATATGTTATTTACCGTCTGAGAGGTCCGTATAGGAAAGCACTGCCCGAGGTCTTGACAGTACGGAACGAGCGCAGCGAGGTCCGTACATAAAAGACCGAGCTAGAGGGCAGTGTTTTCCTATACGGAACGACCTATAGCCGGTAAATAACATTTTTATTTATTTGTATTTGTATTTTATGCAACTTTGCTCGCAGCCTAGCTGCAGGATACCGTGGACCGGGCTGACCGTGAAAAACCGGACCGCGCGCTAGCCAGTCACAGCGCGCGAATGACTAGGATACTGGACCGAAAAAAATAAGAGAGTTTATGTAATCAGTAGAGTTCCCTCAAATATCTTGCATAATTAATAACTGYTATCTTTATATAATAGTGAAGTCAATTCATGAAACTATATTTGATGRCATGACGCATTCGGCATCCCACAGTACACTGCTGGAGATAAGTTCAGAATAATAAAGGCATTAAAATTCAATTTGCACCACATTGCAGATGGTTTAATTAAAGGATCAAGATGAACGAGGAGGCAATTCTTTGCTTAGTGATTTGTATTTGTACTTTCAAAGCTGCACGATCCGCACAKCACATCAATAAGCAGGGGGAAATCTCTTTTCTTAATTTGTACCAAAGTGCAGAAGGAAAGGTTTTCTCTAAGCTCGGCAGTCTTTTATCCAACCAAACAACTGGAAGCATTGAAGAATGYTGGATCAACTGTGTACAAAACAAGGAATGTTTGTCGGTGAATACCGTTGCTTTGGACAAATCCCGATATCAATGTGAGCTTCTTAACTGGGCAGGAACGGGATTTGAGGGCCATCTTGTATCAAAAGCCAATTCATCTTTCCTGCAATCATATGTAAGTAGTTTATGGGTGGTTCATRAATCTTAAGTTGGAAGTCATCGTTAATATATTTTAGGGACCGTTCATTAATYATGCCTAAAAATATTGTGATGGATTAAGCACGGGGGTTGCKAATTTTACCAAGGTTTTTTTTAATTTTTCCTCCAGACCACCCTGAGGCATATTTACTAAACAGTCCCGAATACAAAGTTTTTGATTATACAAAATCAATTCCTATGATKGAAAGTTAACGATAGTCGGAGGGTAAAGCAGTCAGTGTTATGTCTTAATCATTGCTCTCAATTTATTTCTAGACGGCTTGCGTCTCTAACCCTTGCCGAAATAGCGGAAAATGTATAGCCAAAGAGGGAGGATCTAACTTCACTTGTGATTGTGCTGTGCCAAAGGGAAAACCTTTATTCACTGGCAGACGTTGTGACAAGCCGTTCAGTAAGTATAACAGCCCAAGGCCCACACTCTTCTGCGCTCGATCTTTTCTACCTAATTAAAAATTCTTTCGTTAATCAGTCCCTGAATAATCCATGTAGCATATTGTGTTGGCTTATCCATAATAAACGAGTCCTTTATTTTTCGGCTATGGACGAACATTAAACATGCCTTGAAAATCTGAATAATTGCAAAATGATATATCCATGATTCAAACCGAATAATGATTGTATTATTATGGGATATACCGATATACACATTCTCATGATCACTACTCGACATCGTCCATTGTTACTGGCTGARTATCGCGTTGCTTTTCAAGATTCCATCCAGAGATTGCATGTAATAATATTGAACATTTTTTCTTAGATTGTGTTTTGTTTGACTTTGAATCTGGGCGTCTTGACGGTTGGACCTTGTCAGGAGAAGCATTCAACAGTCAGCCCACCTACGGAGACAACTACAACGCTCGCTCAAACRGTTTGTCCAATATTCAAGGAGACTGGTACGTATCAACATACGAAAACCGACCCAGTCCCTCTCACAAAGCAGGGCAAGCACAAGGAGATAAGCCAATTGGAACCGCTACGTCACCGAAGTTTGTCATCCGAGGCACAAAACTCAGGTTTTTGATTGGTGGAAGCTCTAACTGTGATCATCTCCGACTAGAGCTGCTTATTGGTGGAACCGCTGTTCGAAAAGCCTGTGGACGAAACGTGTGGACAATGGCGATAAAAGAATTTGATGTCTCCGCTTACCAAGGGAAGACAGCCCATGTTAGATTGATTGATGATTCTGATTCGTCATGGGGGTTCATCATCGTCGATCAGATTGAGGACAGTTATTGTTCCGAGTAATTATGCACATCAACCAAAGATGTTTAACTTCGATTTAGCTTTTCGTAGACTGAGTACCACTGGAATGGGGAAAGCCGATATCATTTTCAAACATATCATTAAGAGAATAACAGAAAATAAAAAATGGAAATCATCTTTKATCCCACTAATTTAAGTCTGATACTGAAACACAAGCAAACTACGATATTCTACTTTTCAACGGTTATTTTCTCTTGTGATRCCTTACTCACACAAACTACCATATCTAGACAGGGATTACCCGGCATCCAACATAATGCAGATATTTATCCAAATCTCTCGTATTTACTCTTTGATTAATGTCGATTAATCTTTTCTTGTCATGAATTCGTTACGTTAATTATCAGTGCATACGTAAAGACAAGTTACCGTATCACAGGGTATAATAAACACGCAAATAAAGATTTGTTTATATTGCTTGATTATCAAGGTATTGATTCATTGGTTGAATAGATCGAAAAATAGTTTTTCGTGAAGAAAGAAAAACTAAATGAAATGCAGATATAACCTTGCCTGAAACAAAAGCTGACATCATAAGGGGAATGAAAAGCTCTTGCCAACCATTTAGATGCCTGGCGAGTTGAAGAATTTTTATTTTTTTAAAAACTGTTGATGATGTACATATTAGAATCATGAAAATRCAAACTACACCAGTCCTGCAGTGTTTTAGTGACTGAAGCATTTATTTCAAGGAACAACAATCAAATTAAAATGTGAACGCAAAAATAGACAGCAATTGTATGAATAACTTTCCCTTACATGCAAAATRCTGTTGTGAAGTTCAGTGTGAAGTTTATTTATTCTGCAGGTTACCATGTTATCATGTTTCTATTACATGCCCAACCTTGTGTATAATCAATATAGCTCACTCAAACATCTTGCATATTTAATTACCTTTATCCTTATATAATAGTGACAAAATAGTGAAGTCAATTCATGAAACTATATTTGATGACATGACGCATTCGGCATCCCACAGTACACTGCTGGAGATAAGTTCAGAATAATAAAGGCATGCATTAAMATTCAATTTGTCAGTTGCCCAACATTGCAGATGGTTTCATTAAAGGATCAAGATGAACGAGGAGGCAATTCTTTGCTTAGTGATTTGTATTTGTACTTTCAAAGCTGCACGATCCGCACAGCACATCAATAAGCAGGGKGAAATCTCTTTTCTTAATTTGTACCAAAGTGCAGAAGGAAAGTTTTTCTCTAAACTCGGCAGTCTTTTATCSAACCAAACAACTGGAAGCATTGAAGAATGYTGGWTCAACTGTGTACAAAACAAGGAATGTTTGTCGGTGAATACCGTTGCTTTGGACAAATCCCGATATCAATGTGAGCTTCTTAACTGGGCAGGAACGGGATTTGAGGGCCATCTTGTACCAAAMGCCAATTCATCTTTTCTGCAATCATATGTAAGTAGTTTATGGGTGGTTCATAAATCTTCAGTTGRAAGTCATCGTTAGTATATTTTTATACAAAGTTTTTGATTATGGAAAATCAATTCCGATGATTGCATGAAAGTTAACGCTAGTCGGAGAGTATTATTATTATTATTATTATCATTATTATTATTTCTAGACGGCTTGCGTCTCTAACCCTTGCCAAAATAGCGGAAACTGTATAGCCAAAGAGGGAGGATCTAACTTCACTTGTGATTGTGCTATGCCAAAGGGAAAACTTTTATTCACTGGCAGACATTGTGACAAGCCGTTCAGTAAGTRTAACAGGCCCACAATCTTCTTCGCTCGATCTTTTCCACCTAAGTAATTGTTTAAAAAATTTTGGTTCAATATTTTTAAATAATCCGTGTTGTCTTATCCGTAATAAAGGAKTCCTCYTTCGGCTATGGACGAACATTTAATCTTAAYAATTGCATGAAAATAATGTATCCATGATTCAATGCCAACCGAATATAATGCCGATTATATCATTTTGGTACACATTTTCAGAACTCGGCATCGTCCATTACTGGCTGAATAACGCGATGCTTTTCAAGATTGCRTTCAGARATTGCATGTAATAATATTGAACTATTTTTTAGATTGTGTTTTATTTGATTTTGAATCTGGGCATCTTGACGGTTGGTCTCTGACAGGAACAGCATTCAACAATCAGCCTACGTATGGAGACAATCCTTATCATCGCGTAGGCGCAAGATCAAACTTGAAAGGTGATTGGTCCATTGCGACTTTCGAGAAAAGACCCAGTCCCTCTGACCCTAAAAGAGGACAGCAAGGGGATCACCCCACTGGAACCGCAACATCACCATCATTTGTCATCCGTGGAAGAAAACTGAGGTTTTTGATTGGCGGAAATAGTGACCCTACCAAATGTCGTCTTGAATTGCTGATCGGTGGAAAAGTTGTTGATAAAACAGCATCAGATGGAACATCAAATAGCATGATGCAAAAAGAGTTTGACGTCACAGCATACAAACATCAAACTGCTCAGATACGAATTGTTGACGGCTCATCAGGTGGTTATGGATTTGTGATGGTGGATCATATTGAAGACAGCATTTGCTCTGAGTGACTTATAAACCATGGACCACATTAACGCACAATTGCCGCAACGTATAGCTGTGAACGCATAATTACACATTAAAAACAGAATTTGCACCCAGTGACCAAGACTTCTGGACATTAATCAACCACATTATCATCATTTTCTAAGAATAAGCGTGTGCTGTAGACGCAACCGACATGCCGATCACACTTTGGCCGCCTCTGATCAGGCGAGCCAAAAGCAAATAGTTTTCAATTGGTTTCTCATGCACACAGAGGTTCCTAACGACCCTGACTCATGCATGGTCGCCTATGCTAACATCATCCTACCATGGGTTGAATGAACGCATTGTTTTCAAATAATTTTAATATCTTTTGTTCTCTTTTTTAGCACCTTTTTTGTTCTTTTCTTTAACACATCTCTTGTTTTATATGTATATTTCTCGTTACCATGCCTACCTTGCTCTACTTTCTTTGCTCCTCTCATTACATACATTCCTATTTTCATCTCTTTACTCCGACGAAGGATTAACGTCCGAAACGTCAGTAAGTTAAATTAACTTTTTACACAACCATCTATACATCACAATTGAAGAGTGACATTCCTTATGCAGATGGCAATACCCCACAAGACAAGTTTCCGTAACAGGGGTGGTCGAGAACAGAGATCGGTTTAGTCACGCCGGTCGGGAGAAAAACGTCTGCCCACATCCACACTTCATTGAAGGTACCATTTATCTGAATAACCAAGGTCTGCAGATTTATTCCCCTTAGTGTGCCCCAACGTATATATTGATATCTATGCGCATTAAAACACTTCGAAT